AGTTGGTACAAAGAATTTCCCTGCTTCAACAAGTAACCAAATGTAGCTAATCCACCATACTTGCTTCCGGGGTCGGCGGCAGGGGCGGCAGCCCTTAAATCCGGCCAGGGGCCCCCTGGCCGTGTCCTTGCCGAAGGCGGTTCTCTCCTCTCCGTAGGAGAGAGGGGCCGCCGCCCCAGCCGCAGACCACCCGGTCCGGCCAAAATATCCTGCGTTTTACAGGGTATTTTGCTCTTCCGTTTTTTCCGCCTTTTTTGGAGCCTGTGACTCAAGGTGGGTCAACATAGGCCTCAAGATGGGCCAACATAGTCCCAAGATGGGCCAACATAGCGCCCAAGATGGGCCAAGATAGCCCCAAGATGGGCCATCATAGCTCCAAGATGGGCCAACATAGCCCCAAGATGGGCCCACATTGCCCTCAAGATAGGCCAACATAGCCCCAAGATGGGCCAACATAGCCCCAAGATCGGCCGCCGACCCTCAAAATATCCTGCGTTTTACAGTGTTTTTTTGCTGTTCCCATTTTTCGGATCTTTTGGCTCCACGCGGGTCAACATGGGCCAACATAGTCCTCAAGATCGGCCGACATAGGCCTCAAGATCGGCCCACATAGCCTTCAAGATAGGCCAACATAGCCCCAAGCTGGGTCAACATAGCTCCAAGCTGGGCCCACATTGCTCGCACGATAGGTCAACATAGGCCAACAGATGGGTCAACATAGTTGGGCCCCTGCCGCCGACCTCCGGTAGGGTGCGCGTGTCGACAGAAACCCCTGTAATTTACAGTGTTTTTTGGCCCTGTGACATTCAACATGTTTTTGCACTAACATCGCACATGTGGCTCAAGATGGGTCAACATGGGCCAGCATAGGCCTCAAGATGGGCCAACATAGCCTCAAGATCGGCCAACATAGCCCCCAAGATGGGCTAGCATACCCCCAAGATGGGCCAACATAGCTCCAAGATGGGCCCACATAGCCTCAAGATGGGGCAACATAGCCCCCAAGATGGGCCAACCTAGCCCCAAGATGGGCCGCCGACCATCAACATATCCTGCGTTTTACAGTGTTTTTTTGTTGTTCCCATTTTTCGGATCTTTTGGCTCAACATGGGTCAACATAGGCCTTATGATCGGCCAACCTAGGCCCCAAGACGGGCCAACATAGCACCAAGGTGGGCCAACATAGCCCCAAGATGGACCAACATAGCCCCAAGATGGGGCAACAGAGCCTTAAGATCCTGCTCCCAGCTACCCATATCACCTCAACATGGGCCCCTGGCCGGCTGTCGCGCGTAAGCGCTTAATTCGGCTCCGCCGGCTCCACACGAGTGGCTTGCCCTACGAGCGTCCCAGAGCGACTAGAGCTCTATGGTGAGGCGCGCCCCAAGCCGCCGACCCTCCGACGCCGGGCCCCAAAAAATACCAAAAATCCTTCAGGAGGGTGGGGGAGAGCTTTTTAGACGGAATCCGGGTCGCTCATAAGCGTCTCCAAGAGCAAAATCCCGCCCCCCCCCCGTTTGGAGGGTACCTAAGATCGGAAAAAAGCGCCGTTTTGACACATTTTTCGGACGATTTTTCGCTTTTCGAAAGTCACAAATTACAGCATTTTTGCGTTTTAACGTCTTTTGCGGGAGCCATGCAAAAACGCAGAAAATGCTGTAAATACCAATACTTTTTGGACCCGAGATGCACAAAACACTGCAAATACCAGTGTTTTTGAAAGCCAAGCAAAAAAACACTGTAAATTACAGCATTTTTGGCGGGTTGATCGCAAAAAATGCTGGTATTTACACGGTTTTTGCAATTTCAAGAAAACGTGGAAGGCACGAAACACTGTAAATAGCAGTGTTTTGGCAACTTTTGGACGCCGAAACGCTGGTATTTACGCAGTTTTTTGCCCGTGCCGGCGCCAAACCCCTGTAAATTACAACATTTTCTTCCCTTTTTGAACCGATTTTTTGCGTTGATGAACGCAAAAAATGCAAGTATTTACGCGGTTTTCACAAAATCGAAGATCGTGACGTGAACGAAACCGTGTAAATAACAGTGTTTTAGCATGTTTTAGCCACTTTCGGGGACTAAAACTGTGGTATTTACGCGGGTTCTTGCCATCTGACAGCGCAAAATGCTGTAAATTACAGCACTTTGTGCGCTGTTTATGTTCAATTGTTTAACCTGCGATGCTTTCACCTGTTCTTTGCATTCTTCCACAAGAAACAATGTTGCAGATTGAAACACAGAAGCTTTTACACATACAGGGGCTTTTACACAGAGAAGTCTTTACACAAAGGAGCTTTTTTCACACAGAAGGTTTTACACAGAGAAGTCTTTACTCTAAGGAGCTTTTGCACACAAACGTCTAGGAGCCTTTACACACAGAAGCTGTTACACAAAGAAGTCTTTACACAGAGGGCTTTTTACACACAGACGCGTTTGCACACAGAAGCTTTTACACAGAGAAGCCTTCACACAGAGGAGCTTTTACACACAAAAGCATTTACACACAGCAAGCTTTTACACACACAGGGGCTTTTACACAGAGAAGTCCTTACACAAAGGAGCTTTTTACACACAGAAGGTTTTACACAGAGAAGTCTTTACTCTAAGGAGCTTTTGCACACAAACGTCTAGGAGCCTTTACACACAGAAGCTGTTACACAAAGAAGTCTTTACAGAGGGCTTTTTACACACAGACGCGTTTGCACACAGAAGCTTTTACACAGAGAAGCCTTCACACAGAGGAGCTTTTACACACAAAAGCATTTGCACACAGCAAGCTTTTACACACACAGGGGCTTTTACACAGAGAAGTCCTTACACAAAGGAGCTTTTTACACACAGAAGGTTTTACACAGAGAAGTCTTTACTCCAAGGAGCTTTTGCACACAAACGTCTAGGAGCTTTTTCACACAGAACTTTTTACACGAAGAAGGCCTGACAGAGAGAGTTTTTAAAAAACAGACGCGTTTGCACACAGAAGCTTTTACACAGAGAAGCCTTTACACAGAGGAGCTTTTACACACAAAAGCATTTACACACAGCAAGCTTTTACACACACAGGGGCTTTTACACGGAGAAGTCCTTACACAAAGGAGCTTTTTACACACAGAAGGTTTTACACAGAGAAGTCTTTACTCCAAGGAGCTTTTGCACACAAACGTCTAGGAGCTTTTTCACACAGAACTTTTTACACGAAGAAGGCCTGACAGAGAGAGTTTTTACACACAGACGCGTTTGCACATAGAAGCTTTTACACAGAGAAGCCTTTACGCAGAGGAGCTTTTACACACAAAAGCATTTACACACAGCAAGCTTTTACACACACAGGGGCTTTTGCACGGAGAAGTCTTTACACAAAGGAGCTTTTTACACACAGAAGGTTTTACACAGAGAAGTCTTTACTCTAAGGAGCTTTTGCACACAAACGTCTAGGAGCCTTTACACACAGAAGCTGTTACACAAAGAAGTCTTTACACAGATACATAGCTTTCACACACAGACGCGTTTACACACAGAAGCTTTTACACAAAGAAGTCTTTACACAAAGTGGTTTTTACACACAGAAACTTTTACACACAAAAGCTTTTACACAGAGAAGTCTTTGCACAGAGGCGCCTTTACACGAAGTAACAAGTTGAAATTGGCAGCAGTTCTTCGGGAAAAACCCTTGGCAGGAGCTTTCGGGAACTCACTTGCTCCCCAAAAAAGCCGTCTATTTCCAACAAAGTTCCTATTCCATGAACTTTTTTCAAAAAACATAAGGAATATATTTCTGAAGCAGGTCCCCATCCAAAAGCTTTCAAGCCCACACTGCGATGAAATGGAGGGTCGAGAAATCCGGCGGAGCCGCCCCTCGGCGTCAGCCCTTAAATCCGGCCAGGGGCCCCCTGGCCGTGTCCTTGCCGTACGGCAGTTCTCTCCTCTCCGTAGGAGAGAGGGGCCGCCGCCCCCTGCCGCAGGAGAGTCGGTCCGGCCAAAAAGTCCCGCGTTTTACGGTGTTTTGTGCTCTTCCGACTTTTTCCCATTTTTCGGATCTTGTGGCTCAAGATGGGTCAACATGGGCCAACATAGGCCGCAAGATGGGCCAACATAGCCCCAAGATGGGCCAACATAGCGCCCAAGATGGGCCAAGATAGCCCCAAGATGGGCCATCATAGCTCCAAGATGGGCCAACATAGCCCCAAGATGGGCCAACATAGCCCCAACATGGGCCCACATTGCCCTCAAGCTGGGGCAACATAGCCCCCAAGATGGGCCAACATAGCCCCAAGATAGGCCGCCGACCGTCAAAATATCCTGCGTTTTACAGTGATTTTTTGCTGTTCCCATTTTTTGGCTCTTTTGGCTCAACATGGGTCCACATAGGCCTCAAGATCGGCCCACATAGCTTTCAAGATAGGCCAACATAGCCCCAAGATGGGCCCACATTGCCCTCAAGATAGGCCAACATAGCCCCAAGATGCCACAAAATGGGCCAACATAGTTGGGCCCCTGGCCGGCTGTCGCGCGTAAGCGCTTAAATATGTATATATATACACACACATCTATGGAAAACAAGTATAAACAGTTCTGGCTGAATATATTTGCGCTACATTAATTCACTAACCTGAAAATAGCTGAACCAAGGCCGTTCCGTGATGATTCCCCTGATCAGAAATCATATCCATCCAGTGACGTCACAGTGAGGTCATTGTAATTCATCCAGAACATGACAGTAAACAAATGTAAACAAGGTCCACGGCTCACAGACAGTTCGAACCGCCAGTCCATGCTGTTTTGAGCTCTGCAATGAATGAACGAGTATTTGTGCGCGTAGTTCTGGGGATTGAACAAATGGAATTTGTAATAAACCACTGACTGAAATTGCAAGACACACTCGTTTTCCTAGCTGTAAACTACTTTGATTTTATTGTGTTTGGTCGGTCTAAACTGTTTAGCCCTCTTTTCAAGAGGCTTTCACACTGCGCCGTGGATGGAGCCATCCCAAGCTTTCCCCGGTCCTGTTTGGATTGACTTGCCAATATGACTACGGTTGTAGGTTTGTCGTCCGTCTCACAGGCCGCAAACTCTTCGAGCCTTGGTGGAAGGACGAGGAGTTTATGACAATCATGGGGAGTTCAAGAAGTTCAAGCTACCCAAATCCCGTGGCCCAAGGTAGATGAACAAAAAAAGGAACAGCTTGGTGTGTAAAACAAACACCCCTCTGACGAGATTCTGATGCCTTCATGAAGGCTTCGAACAACAATTCGGCCCTATATATATATTATATATATATATATGTATATCCACATAATACAACAGATATATAATATATATAATATATATATATTTATCTACAAATATCTACATATCAAAATGGTAAGGTCCCTGAAAACTGCATTGCTCGGGGTCATCATAGCCATCGGGTTCATAGGGCCAGAGGGAAATGAGGCCAACCAGGATTTCAGTTCCCTATTTGAATGGGAAAGTGGTGATTGGCCAATGGATTAAGGGTGATGATGAGTGATGGGTATCGTATTTTCAAAGCAATATACGCAGCAGGCAGTCACCCAGGCTTTGCAAATCCTTGGATCACTGGAGGTCAATGAGGTCAATCTTCCCAACTGGGCTTCCGGCAATTGCTTCGTTTGCACAGAATGGCCCAGCAACTCAGCAGCCATGGGGCCATGGGGACCATGGGGAAACGTGAAAAAACTGCCATCCCGTGCATCCCGTGGCACCCAATTGAAATCGAATGCATTGAAATCTGTACAGATCTGTAGCATCTTCGACAACAGGCATGTACTTTAGGGATCTTTCACAAAGAAAATAGTACAGGAATACAGGAACTAGGACCTCTTCCAGCAGATTGATGATCAGAATCACCAAATAGACGTACACTCACCATAAGTCATGGGTGCAAATCCCTTTGTCGTACAATGCGGGTTACACAGATTACAAAATGCAAAACAACAAGAAACCAGCACACACACACACTATTGCATATTGCACAGGTGGCTGCGAAAACGCAGCATAAATGTGCATGGATACTGGATGAGGCACCTTGCAAGAAACTGATGGAATTTGTGTGTGTGTGTGTCTTGTAATCAAGCCGCAGCGTTCAAACATCTATCAGCATGTGACGGACCGCCAGGATCCTCAAGAATACCGCGGCTACCACGAAACTATTAAGAAGTCAAACAAATCTAGAAGCCCATGCTAGAGCTGCTAGAGACTAGAGACTCTTCTTGTGACATTCCAATGGCCAGAATGTTGTCATTGTAGCGACTTGGACATACTACAAGGCAGCCACAAACTTCTACATTCAGCCATTATTGCACACACACACACATTTCCTGAGACAGTCCAGAAAGATCCACAAAGCTGATGCTGTCAGAATCTGTCTGTCAGAGATGTGAATCCCCGGCCGCAACAAAGAAATGCCTCCAAGACTGACGCGTGAAACTAAAAGACGCGTGTCCGCAAGCAGCACTGACTAGCCGAATCTTTCCAGAGCATCATGACTTGAGTGCTCAACTGCTGTTTTAAGTTCCTCTTGCACTTTTGCACAGCATGCTTTCAGCATGTGCGAAGGTGTCGTCTTGCCGATGCGCATCTGTATCCTTCTTCATCCCCGAACCTCGAACAAAGCCCAAGCATGCCATAGGGCATAGCATGCCCAAATCAAAAAAATCGCTGTTTTGGCGTAGCGGCGTAGCAGTTCTTGGTGGGAGATCTTCTGCATCAAGCCGTTAGTTTTTTGGTTCCATCTTCCATCACAAAAAACCCTCCCCCTACCGCTTCCATTGGACCTGCCCAGGTACTAAAATGTGTCCTCCCTCCACCACGACATCGCGACCTTGCTTTGAGGCCTGCGAGCAGCTAGCACTTTGCAAGGTTTTAATACCCAAGGGGACCCATTCAATTCGCATTAAACTGATTCAAGATTGATCCACATTCATTAGATCAATCATCCAAAATGATAATCATGAACACATCACAATAGCCTCCAGTCTTCCCCTTGCTCAACATCATTCAGCCGAACACCGCGCTAATACATTGCATTTGGATGATTTTGGCCATTAAAAATGCCATATTTTAAGCCATACTTTGCTGCCAGATTTTGCCATAAAAACTGCCTCAACTTGCTTGGCAAAGTAGTCGGAGATGGTGGTCAGGAGCACGGCCAACAACACCAAACCGCCCAGGGTGGTCAAAATCCCCACGAAGCCGGTGATGGCCGAAGCACTTGGATCCACTGAGGCAGCAGATGCCCAGACGAAGCAGACCTGGACGATGAAGGCGGCGCTGATCTTGGATACATCAGATCTTCAAATGCAAATGCAAATAATATATAAACTTACATAAATGCAATATTTAAATCCATATGAATGGATAAACCTACTTGAAGATTCATAAATGCATAAATGCAATTAAATGCAATTCAAATCCACGAAATGCAATCAGATGAAGTTTGAGTTCCATTTCACTATGCTGTGGCCTTCCGTCACGACGTGGAAATCTATGGATCGCCGCCTATGAGATCCCACTTTCTCTCCAGACATCCCAAGATATCCCAAGATATCCCAAGTCCAAGCGACCCAAAGTCCTGTCAATGGTGATCCACCAACCTCGGCGCACGGCACGCACGGCACACACGGCACAGCTACGAAGCCCGGGCCCCTGGGCTCCCTGGGCTCCCTGGGCACAGCACGGCTCCCTGGGCTCCGGGCAAAGGCCGAATACATCAGAGCTCCAGCGGTTAACAATGTGAGTACTCCAAACCTGCGCCGTTTCGAAGAAAGAGTTTGTTGGAACAAAAAATCAATTAATCAATTTCCTATCCCCATGCACAAAACACATGTATATGTATATGTATATGTATATATATATATATTTATATTATACACGTGGCTATTGGCATTTGTTAAAACCCTGGACCCCTTGTGAGCCTCAAAATCGCTGGGATTTATGGATGTCCCCAAAATATGATGCCGTAGAGGTTTTGATCCGTCCCCATTGTGGCTTGGTCCGACCCATGTATTTTTCGTGACATAAAACTAGTCTCAAAATGTTTCATCAACTGCTCATCATGTCATCAGTGTCATTTTTTTCCTCACATCAACTGCAAGTCTCGTAGTGCTTTGAGAATGCTATTTTTTTCGACGCTATTTCCGGGTACTACCTTAGGCCCCGGCAGAAGGATCGTGCCCATGGCCGCTAAACCTTCCTTGTTCATCCAGTAGTTGAATCGGTATCTCCGCCGTGGCGATGATTGGTAGACCGATTTGATGCGTGGATTTGATCTTTGTTCACGTGCAATATGCAATATATATATATATGGTACATGTATATATATATATATTTATTTATATATATATATATATATACAATATACATACATGCATACATACCTGTATGCATGCGTATATCCATACAGAGAGGGAGAGAGTTTGGCATCCATATGCACAGTGACAACATGATGTATGTAGACGGAGGCTTATAGCTGGGAAAATAATCTACAGGATACAGGATGGGGCCCTCCAGTTATGTTTGTTGGCTTATAACCCCATCTAAATATAGCTATTTTCATCTATTTGCGCACCATACACTATGGTTATAACATAGTTTTTTATAAACCAACTTAGCTGGAGCTCCATGGGCCCCATCCTGTAGGATTTTCCAATATTTTCCGGCGTGTCTGAGACCCGGCGTCAGGAACATCTTGAAGGAACGCCCCTGGCGGCCATGGCCGACGTCCACCGATCTGTTTCCAGATTTCATCCCATTTCCATAGAAAATCATAGAAACATATACAAACAATAGGATCAATAGGGATGTCATTAAAAATTCATGAGATTCCATGAGATTTCCCATGCATTGGACAATTTGGACATTGGACAATGAGTTACGGATGTGAATTGGTGACCTGGTGACCTGGCGCCTCCAAATTGTTGTCTTCAAAGAGTTGCTGCTCTGCGTACAGCAACTTGGGAATCCAGTACCTTGACGGTGCTATGGCTGCAACGGCTGCTGCTCGCCCTGCCAAGGCAGGCGTCCAAGATCGTCCAAGTGCCGACCCAGCTACAACCATAGCGCCAGACCAGAAGCGAGGACACCATAGCCTCAGTAAATCAGATGTTTGTCTGCTCACAACCCATCCTAAACGCGTATTGAGTATAGTCATCCAGTTTGACAATCTCAAATGACAATTTTATAGAACACGTGAAATCAGAGGTAGTACGAATCTCTCATTAAAAATGCACATCTTTCTCCACACTTTTTCTAGGGGCCGTTAACCGCGCAGTGACCCGCACCAAGCTGCCAATTACGAGCCGTACTCCACGCCACAGCCGTTGAAGCAGCACCGCCTCAATGACCGTATTGGGGATCGGTCCACGGAACGGAATATGGTTTCCATATGGTTTCCATGGATCAAAACCCTGCAATGTTGTTCACCTATGTTCACCTCCCAAAGTGCAGCAGGTTACAGCAGCTCGGTTTATTTCCATCCGAATTTCGGGGTTATTTGTTCTTGACCCAGACTCGTAAGGGAGTGCTAGGCCCGGCTGCATGCCGGAAAGTGTCGAAAAATCAAAGGACCAAAGGACCAGAAAACCCATCGTAGACCTTTTTGTGGGTACGGGAGAGCAACAGTTACGTCAGAGGATGTCAGGATAAGTTCGATAGACTCAAATTTGATAGAGATGGGTGATATGTAGCGTATGTAGTTCCATGGAGACACGTTGTGAGAGATAGGTTTTGTCGAGACCAGCCGAGAGAGGGGTTTGGCAGAGATCAATTTCCAGAAGAAAAGAGAAAGACGTGTCAGAGCCAAACAGTTTGCTGTTTGGTAGGGCGGCTGGGGGTGGAGAATAGTGGAGAATCCAACAAGCGGGCCTGGAAAGAAAGGGCCTCGAAGAGCATCCAAAAGGTATATATATAAGATGTTGTAAGTCATGACAGAGAAATATCCAGGTGAAACTCTGTCCGGGATGCAACAGCTGGATCTAAAGTGTGTTGGTTGCTGGTTGATATGGGTCTTTGGCTAACTGACCGGACTAAAGGACTGACTGCATGGCTGCGCATCTTCTCTGAGGTAGCTTCTTATTCGCTGAGTGGCTGCGCTGAGATAACTTGTTTTTCTGAGTTGCTGCTTCCCTGAGCCGTTTTCTTTAAGCAACTCCTTCTCTGAGCTTCTCCTCTTTTCGTTCTTTCCCGCTACTTTTTCTCGCTAACCCTTCCCCTCTCTGAGCTACATCTTTCAGCGAATTCGCCGCTTCACCTCTGAGCCAACTCTTTGAGCTTCTGAGGTCTTTTCCGAAGCAACCTTTTTATACCTTTCTGAGCATCTTCTTCTCTTTGCTATTTTTCCGGGCCAATTTTCCGTTGAGCAAGATGAAGAACTTCTTCCCTGACAAGTTCTTCTCTGAGCAACTTCTTGTCTGTCCAACTTGCTGATTGAGTTCCTGAGTTCCATAGCTCTCGACGGACTTGCTAGTCTGATGCCATTTGTTCGTCACTTGGAAGTTTCTTATGTGAACTTCCTGAAGATTGATATGTTGAGCTCATCTCAGAGATTGGGGAGGACAGGTCAAGTAGATTCGTAAAAAGGTCAGTTTATTTGTGCCAGCTTGAGTAATACCAAGTAAACTATGGAACTATAGAAAACCATCAGCTTTAAAACGATTTTCACCCGGTAAAACAGCGAACTATTGCTGGGCCATGGCTTCCAAATCTTCCAAACTGTCAGCCATGAGGAAAACCGTCCAGCTGAGCAGCAGCACCGTCGGGACGGGTGTCGGTGCCGCTGCCGGCTGAGCTGGCTGAGCTGGCTGCGCTACCGGCGGATCTTGCCTCCGTTGCGGAGTCATGGTGGAGGCCAAAAACATATGGTAGAATAGGCAATGACATAGAATATATAGAATGATCACGAATGATGAATGATGTAGATGCTGCATCAATCTTCTCGTAAGTTTAACTTTGGAGATATGAGTCAACAACAAAATCATCGCCATCCAGTCTGGTTGAGCATTAGCGCATTGCAAGCAGCTTGAGAAAAGTCCCGCTGAAATACGAGTAACCCACCAACAAATAGCAAGTAGTGCTAGCATGTTTTCCGCCGTTGCTCCAGCGCCCTGTGATTGAACACCTGCTTTCTTCATCTCAAGGAAGTTGGATATTAGAAAACATTGAGCACCACAAGCCAAAATGGGATCGTTTACTGTTGGGACGGAGACCACACCCTCTCTGTCCTCTTTTCCAGGCATTCCATGAAACGAATCAAGTGTCCACTATTCAAGACTATCTTCTCATTGATCCTCCACGAAACTGATTGGACTTGGAGAAGAAACCTATCGAACCTGTGGAGCAACTGACTCTTTCCAAAACTTTCACAGTTTGTCATCTCCCGCACTGCCGCACCTCACATCCAGCAGGGTTTTCCGCAATCGCGGAACCTGGTGGGAAGCAGCTGCTTGTATCATGGTCTACCCTATTTCTACCCTAGCTACGTTGCTAAAACGCTCCTCTACTGTATATAAGTAGTTGTTACTAAATGGTGGCACTATGGTACTTAATTTTGGCACTTAATTTTTATCTCTCTTCTTATTGTGTTCTCTGGCTCTAAATCCAACCAATCAGTGAAATACTACGTACATATTTTCACGTCGTTCATCGTGTTTTTGCTGTTTTTCAAGGCCTACATCAACCTGCCAACCTGCATCAGCGAGTTTTTGCGTCCAACATGCTGCACGCATCATTTCTGTACCAACCAAGATGTTAACGAAGCAAGTTTATGCCAAGCAATGCCTATGCATGCAAGCACTGATGCCTAATGATTATTTTTGCACTAATTAACATGTTTTTACACAAAGATTTTTTTGTTTGCGCTTTTACACGAACAAACATTTACACAACACCTCAGATGCTTTCACACTACCCAGTTTTCACAAGAAACACCCTTTTCCACACCTGTCCCAGCTTTTACAGCAAAGTTCGACACAAACTCCGATGCACTCAAATGGGCTTCGGCCCTGTCACCATTTGGGTGATCCCCAAAATTAAATGGACAGACTGGAAACCTGGAAAAATCCTGCAAAGTTAGGCCGAAACATTCTGAAAAGTATGGTGCCCTCTGCTTATTTCATAGTTTGCTATGGTATAGACTTAGATGGCCCATTTATAGATGATAAACATGATGACTTACCGTTCTCAAAATCCATTTCTAGATGCCTGTTCCTCTCATGGTGATTTGCCGAAAGCTGGGCCTCGGAGTTGGCCGCCAGAGACCTGGCCATGTTTTTCTTGTTTTTCCCATCTAAGCCCTTTATAAATGGTGCTAAAAAAGTGTATGTATGTATGGATGGATGGATGTATGTATGGATGGATGTATGGATGGATGGATGGATGTATGTATGTATGGATGGATGTATGTATGGATGGATGTATGTATATATGTATATGTGTATGTATATGTGTATGTAACGGTGTATGTGTATATATATATATGTATGGATGGATGTATGTATGGATGCATGCATGCATGCATGTATGCATGTATGCATGTATGCATGTATGTATGATTGCATTGAATGTATGGTATGGTATGGTATGGTATGGCATGGCATGGCATGGCATGGTATGGTATGTAACGTTTTCTAAGATTTGCTATTGGGTGTTGAATATGAAGGTGTAAGGGATTACGTCGTTCTTTTACTACGCGCGTACTGAAGATGACTTTCTTACGAAGCATCGGCATCGCAGGAGCCAGGTGTCACCATGTGTCACCGAAGTCTGGCCTTTGGGAATGAGCCTCCAGAGCATTGGCAGTGGCCAACAACAAGAAGATCTTGTACCTGTGGCTGTGTCAGCTGTGGCTGTGTCAGCTGCGACACCAGGATATCAGGATCAGACATGTTTTGGCGAGCAGAGTTTTCGGGAAGAAACTGATGTTGGGCCATTGGGCCATGTTGGGATGCAGTTTTTCACTCTCAAACTCAATTCAATTGATTTGAGGGGAAATTCACAGGAAACCATGGTTTTTGCATTATGAATAAGAGACTTTCCCTGCAGATTCCTGCAGATTTGCCGATGGCCCCACTGAGTTTGGAACATCCGGAGCTTCATTGAGACGGGCTCGAGCAAACGTGCCGCACGTGCCGCGTTTGGTTTCGCATGGAGCATCCCAAATCACCATGGTTGTTTCAATACTGAAATGGTCATCCATGACAACTGGATGATTTGGGGATGATACTAAGAAAGTAGCCACCTTTCTGCAAGCTCCACCACCAACATTTTCAGCGAGTTCTGAGGTCGGTCCCTGGGTGAATTTTCATGATTCACTAACCTGATTTTTTTTTGGGAATTTTGGATGGTTCCCCGAATCCTAACCATCATTCAAGTGACATTGCACTGAGGTCGTTATATATTTTTTTGCCAAATATAGGGTATACATTCTGATACTTTCTGGAATCATCTAGAATCTAGGATCTGATTGAAACATGCTGAAACTGATTGATTCAGCATTGCATGGAAAACAACTTTCTCAGTATCATCAACTCTGGGATGAGGAAGATGCAGCCATTCAGCCATTCTTACTCTGTCTTGAGACTATCTTAAGACGAGAAATGGAGCATTGCAGCATTACTAGGGTATTTTCATGGTTCTTATTGAGATATGGGCAATATTATGCCAAATATTTTTTGGTTTTGGTATTGACGCATCCCAAAAATGATCATCAATTGACACCAGTTGACACCAACTTTTTCGGCGGCTGGCAAGCTACACCGATTTCGGACCCTTCTTTTAGCGTAAGAACTCAGGAGACTTCATCGCAGAAAGATCTCACAGCCAGGTGTGATTGATGCCATAGACTCCACCCTCAAAAGCTTTTGATCCAGTGGCCCACCAGCCCCTCGGTTGAAACATTCCCATAAAGTAGTCGTACCTGTTACTGCTGTGTCATGACAAGAAAAAGTTTTGGCACAAAAACATTAAAAACCGCTGCAGGGGAAGTCCGATGTTTTGGGAATTGGCGCTGTGATTTTCAGATATTCTCCCACTACTAAATTGCACGATCGTGCTGGGAGGTCAAAATACAAAACAACGAGGTGTGGTGGGCTTCAATTGGGAAGAGTACGCTGAGTAAACAGTCTTTCATAGAAATGTATACCTATCATTACCTAACATTTGTTTTGCTACTTGGATCGGTCATTCCTCCGACATGCGTCACGTCAAGGTGGACATGGGAGGGGCAGGACCTGTTGTGAACATTCATTTCCATTTTCTAGCATGCTCTCAGCTGAGTTCACGAGAATTCCTCTTGGTGGCTCCGAAATTTTCAGCAGCTAAGAGAGCTAAGAGAGCACATCTATACTCGGCCAACATCGCAGCTGACGTGGTGATTCACCACGGTTTCGAATCTGCCCAAATATGCCCAAATACTAAGGGCATCTGCCTTGGCATACACAAACAGCATATGTGCATGATTGCGCCGCATGTGCATGTCTATATCTAATATCTCTCTGCCTGTCTGTTTGTTGGTCCGTTTGTCTGTAAGTCTGTCTCTACTGCTTGTCTAAGATGCATGCAATGCATGTAGGCGAGTATGATCGTGTATGATCGTGTATTTACAATGTGTAAACGGCTGTACGTGTACGGTACCTCTGTATGCAACCCTCTAGGTAGCTATGTAAATGGTGTGTGCACCTTCTCAATGGTGTAGCTATCTAAACTCTGATCTAGGACGCTTAAGAAAGTTAATTTTATTCGATTGGTGATTCTATGGTGCGATGTCCAGATCCAGTCATAATCTGACAGATAGAGTCATAATCAGATACTGCCAGATAACCTGTCTAATTCTATCTAAGAAACAAAATAATGCAAAATACAAATACACGAGAACACGCGTAAAATGGATACGAAACTTGCTACTTGCTGTGGATGTGCGTTACTCGGAGACAATTTCACGACCAATACGACCAAGGCCATCAATGAGGCATCTTTGTCGTGGCATCCGTGTTTCAACATGATGCGAAAGCAGCAATATTGGGGTTGGATTCCACTTGCGACAATTTGAACCCATCTTCCAGCCAACACTGCAATTGTCATTTCTTGTAAACACTAAGAATGATTGACATCTTTGTTCCTGGAAATGGAAGTCAACCCTCTCCAATGCCCCCAAAGACGTCCATTGCGCAACGGCGTAATCCCCAGTTCACCAGCCAGCCATATCCTAGTGAATTGCCTCGTGTTGACAAAAAACATTATAGCTGATACATGTTAGTCAGAACAGGTTTATTTAAATGATTTTAAATGTGCAAACAGGAAAAATGACATGAAATGGAAAGTCATTTACAGCTCATATTGAAAGGTTTCCAGCGACGCAGGATATCCCTTGAAATTGATGCTGTAGAGAGGCCACGGGCCCTCGATCTGATTTGATATTTGGACCGAACGCAACTTGCTGTGATGGCTGCAAGAACTCGTTAAATCTGATGAATATGGCACATGCCATGACAAGTACAAGGTCTTACAAGCAAATATGTTGGCTGTGGAAAAAAAAACTCAGTTCCTTTTTTGTGACCAACAGGATACACAAATATCCAACATGCCACTGATCCGAAGCGCAAGGTCTTGGGAAATATCCCCTAGGAGATGTCGGCTCCGAAGTCCAAAGGTATGGAATGGCTGAGGGCAGATAGATTGCTACAGGATTGCGGAGAAAGGTCGGGTCGTCACTGGGTGAGCAGAAACATACAGGAACTATATAGATGGTACCACTCCTTGCAAAAGACATCGAGTAGAATGCACCGGGAACATTTTTATTTTATCTGGGGCGTGGAAAATCAAGGGATGAAACTGTTGGTTTGGGATATCTAATTTCTTCAGGGTGCCATATGGATATATGTTTACATCTGCATGCACACTGTATATATTTCTATGCGTTCATTTTGCAAATATATACATATATACAGTATGAACACAATATCTAATGCATGCACGTATGGTCGATGGCATGCACATATATCTGGAATAGATGCATATAGATACTTGTGACGATATAGGCATGTTGTGTAAATTTATTTGGATACATTTAGATAGATATTACTTGTACTCGTTTTTTTTTTTAAAAAAAATATATATACATATATATATATACACACACTATATATTTATTGTCTATCTGTCTATCTATCTGATCTGATCTAATCTAATCTATCTATACAAAAACAAGTATCTTCACAACTATATATATATATATATCATGATTTTGTAAATATATACACATACATATACACACACAACATTTGCACAACTACACAGAGTTTTTCTTTCAACCAGCTTTCAGCCTTGAAATCGACACAGCTGAAAGATTCTTGATTCCCGGAAGGTGCACCATGCCATGCCAATCTGTTGGTCGAACGTGAACACTGAGACAGGCTGCATTTCTTTGGCACATTGTGAAGCCTTTCTTCTGGAGAATGGGTTCTAGGGCTGCAGTTTTTCAAGATCCCTTCTTGTGTTACAGCACCTTGCAAAAGAAGTTCTGCGGTTCAAAGCGAAAGCAATTTCGTAATGAATCAGGACTCTGAAAATGAATGGCATCTTTATTTCTACAGCAGTGCTGCTTTGCTCTTTCCAAAGGAATACACCTTTGTCTACAGTAAATACTCTACGTTTATCCGATGCATCCACAGTGGATGTTGATCTTCAGTGTCGCAATCACAGATGAAGCAACTTTAAACACATGGAAAGCACACCAACCCCCCTATGCCCCGACCCCCCTAAGGGAAAATCAAGACTTGCGGTTCCCAGGTCCCACACCAGCCTTGAGCATGTACATGTGTATATATGTATATATATATATGTATATATATATATATGTATATATATATATATGTATGTATATATATATATGCATTCATAATTTTAGGTAAAATTATATGTATATAGTTCTCTGTAGGTAGGTGGTATGTATGTATGCATGCATGCATGCATGCATTTATGTATATATATATATAATATTATATCTATCCCTCCGGGGCGGACGTTCGCCAAAGTTTCACTGCGGGGTTAGTTACTTTAGGGCTAGTTTAGGGTCTATGTAGGGTTGGTCTACTCTTTGTTTCAGATTGGTTAGGGGTTTCTTCAGGACTTGGTTAGGGCTTCCTTGGAGTTGTTTTAGGGGAGTTAAGGTTTATCCATCGTAGAATTAGGGTCGGTTATTTGTTAATTTCAGGTTTGTCTATGCTTTCTTCAGGGTTTATTCATTGGTTGGGTCGATTTGGTGTTCTTTTGGAGGGTTTTGCGGTTTGTACGTTCCAAACACTGTAAATTACGGAGAATATATTTAAGACATTGTTCAAAAGGTGATTTTGGCACTCCGTTAGGTAACGAAATGTGACCAGACGCAAGCAATATCAATATTTTGCATGTTTGCAGTTTGCACAAAACACGCGCGGAAGCAAGCAGCACATTGCATTCCCGAAATGGACTTCTGTTGAGTTGACTTCGAGCAAACGCCAGCCCCCTAGCAAGATATAAGTATATATATATGTACATATATATATACACAATTATATACATGTAATTATATATGTGCACATCATAAGTACACATTCAAATTCCTTTGACATGAGGATACATGTAATGTTCATCTGAGTCTCTAAAAGGTATCAATCGCACAATCCTGAACGAACTGCACCTCAAACACTACCACTGGACCGTAGAGATTTGAGCCCTCTATGCTGAGTGCTG